TATACAGTATAAGATTTTGTAAGGTAAACCTAGTTCATACAAATGAAGTAAAGAAAAGTTATTAAAACAAAACGTGCCTTGCTGTTTATTCTTTCAGTGTCCCACAGTAGCACATTTCCTGCTAGGAAAATGTCAGAAGTCACATAATTTCTGTAAATTGGGAAGTAACTGTAATATATCAAGTCACCTCTGTCTCTTGTTACCAGGACTTTTTAAAATGAATGGTACAACATGGAAAGAGGCCCCACACAAGAGTTTAGGTTTGAGCTCAATATGCGATGATCCTTTCAGTCATGACATTTCTGACATGGGAAACCAGGGAATTTGATTAGAAAATGGTAAAGGATTTTCTTTTCAGTTAGAAACTGGATTTGTGTAACATGGTGGTGAAAACCCCCCAAAGAAACCAGCATTTGATCAGTCGATATATTACATTTAATACAAATGTCCTTCGTGTATCTTTTGAATACAGAACAGATCATTTCTGATATCTATGAGTAAACCCAACGAGCACGTGTCCCAAAAGACCCCACAGTGTTTTTATCTGGCTTTTCCCTGACAGTTAGTGGACACTGACAGATGTGTGCTGAATATGAAAGGAAACAAAAGAACTAAAGAAGGTTTGCAGTGTTAAAAACAAAAACTACATGAAGGTTATTTCATCCTGCTGTAACTTATGACAGAAGCATCTTTTGTTTGTTTTTTAAATTTATTTACATAAAGACAGATGTTGAAATAACAGGAGTAACAGTTTAATTCAATTGAAATCAGTCCAATAGTCTATAGTGAAATTATTGTTTTTCGTTACTTCGCAAAAGATGGGGGTTGTTGACTGCAATTCAGTGAAGGCAACAGGGGAGGACGCCAGTTTGGTTGGAGGGGAATCAGCAGGACCGATGAGATTTTGTTTAGGAGTCGAGTAGTTGTGTGAATGAGGAGAGGAGAGCACATTAGACTGCTGAGAGACGGGGAGGTAGTCAAGCACTGACCACATGTCTTCTTGAATTTCAGCAAAATAGATGGGCTCATCTCGGTCTTGAAACAATTCAACTCGGGGTTGAACTGATGCAGTTTGAGAGGCATCTACAGGAGAGGCAGGGGTGGGTGAGGGCTGCTGAGACTGCGCAGTGATGGGGAGGGGGTCAAGCTCTTCCAGCACTGACAGCAGTTCTTCCTCACTGTCTGCGACAAAGGCTTCCTCTGTCTGGAACTGAAGGGCTGCAACAGGGGAGTCCAATGAGGTGTCCTCAGGGAAATTCATGTGAGAGGCAGGGGAGACCTGATTTTCTTGACAGAGAGGTGTGTAGGGTGATGCCTGTGTGTTTGGCAGTTGCAAACACACTGACTGCTGGCGAGGCACGCTGCTGTCATCTGGCTTTGTCTGTGGCTGCTCATGTGGCTCTGTCAGAAATGAATGAGAAGAAGAAGATGGCTGTGACTCAGCTGGCCTCATACACAAGTTGTTGGCTTGTTGAGCTTCTTCTTCATGTACAGATGCAGATTCTGCAACGCAAACAAAAATACATCAAGTCTTCTTTTTTTCAACACATTTTTGTCTCGTTTTCATCACATTTCTTATGTAAAATGCTGTGATACCAAGAAATCTTCTTTCACCTTTTCTAAGTCTGATTCTCTTCCTCTTCTTGCCCTGAAAACAAACACAGAGTTTTCATTAGCTGATACAAACTCTGTGCAGTGACTGTTTCATCATTCAGTGCAGTGATGCACACATGTGTGAACTGCATGTTGGCACTTTGGACATACATAGTTTTCTTTGGTCGACCAGGCTGGATGCTCTTTGGCATGATTCTGTCTTTCTGTTTCAGCCTCCTTGAAATATCTGGCTTTCTGGTCGTTTGAAAGCGACTTCCACTGTGGACAGAAGATCATAAGAACACACTGTGAGCACTGCTACTACACATAACTACAGGACAGCTGGGACACATGCAGAAACATGAGCAGACAACATTAACAGATGCATTAATGTATGCAGAGTTACACACTTACTCTCTGTCCCACCACTGCATTTACAGCTGTACTTCCAGGGATGTTGAGTTCAGCAATAACCTTTGGCCTCTGCTCTTTGAGATAGAGCATGAAGGCAGCTGGCATGCTCCCTGAGTTTTTCCAGCAAGATGGTGCACCACCACATTATGGGTGCCAGGTCCAAGCATTCCTAGATGAACAGTTTCCTGGAAAGTGGATTGGTCGTCATGGGCCAGTTGAATGGCCCCCAAGGTCTCCAGCAGAACCAGGCTCAGTGAGGGGCGGCCAGCTGCTGCGACCAGTTGGGGAGAGAGAAAGAAGATGGGATAAAGACCTGCTGTGGAAGAGAGACAGAGATTAATAACAGATATGATTCAGTGCAGAGAGGTCTATTAACACATAGTGAGTGAGAAAGGAGACTGGAAAGGAAAAGCTCAATGCATCATGGAAATCCTCCGGCAACCAACGTCTATTGCAGCATAACTAAGGGAGGATTCAGGGTCACCTAGTCCAGCCCTAACTATATGCTTTAGCAAAAAGGAAAGTTTTAAGCCTAATCTTAAAAGTAGAGATAGTGTCTGTCTCCCGAATCCAAACTGGAAGCTGGTTCCACAGAAGAGGGGCCTGAAAACTGAATGTGTTCACTGACAGGTGTTGCCAGCTTTGGTGGCTCGTCTCCCGCTCAAAGAGGACCAAAAAGAGAACAATACAGTGTTCATTTCAGTAGCACTCATGAGAAAGTTTGCCCAGAACCACAGTGCTGAGGTCCTGCAGAGCAGAGACCCTTGTTAACGTGCATGCCGTGTTTACTTTTTCTTATGTTAGGAGTTCGGGTTCACCATCCTGTGTTTTGTATTTTGATTTCATGCTTCACTATAAATCGCTGCTGCTGTTCTTTACGCGGTTTGGACACACTTCTTGCTTTGTTCTCAAGAGTGTGAAGTAATGGATTTAATCTGCTAAGGAGAGTTTTTCATTCCCATTGCCCTTTGGGAGTCAGCGGGCTTTAACCTGTGGAGAAACATGTGTGTTCTTGCTCCTTCGAACTGATTTCTTCAGATATTTCTCACTGTTTGTACACATGCTGAATGGTTAGTTTTGAAAACACTTACTTTACCTTTAGTACTCTGCTCAGAAATGCAACCTGTGACCTTACACAGCCCAAAAACTTATCCTAAAACATAAATTAACAAGGACAGAAGCTTTTTACAAATGCTTCAACAGTGTAATTCTAACAAGGTATGCAATGCATCTAATGTCAGTTCAGAGGTATGAAGTGATGACACTTTGACATCACTAAATAAAAGCAGTGATGTCATAATAAGCTTTGCTGTCGACAGTTGGAGCGTTTGTGTTAAACCTTTTCTTACAAATAAAAAAGGAAATCAGATGTTAAGTTTGTTTCTTCAATTTTAGTTGTACTCATTGTGTTGCTCCTCAGATCTCCCGTTGTCCCTGAGCCTGACTAAAGCCCGGCAGCTTGTTTTCAGGGCATGGCAATGCAGATATGAGCTAAAGGTGACACAGCAAAAAAAAAATCAGAATCAAGAAACCCTGAGCTGACTTTCATGGCTGCAGACGTGACATTAAGAGCCTCACAGATCAAAAAAGTATGGGATTTAAACTGCTTCTAGTCCTGCACACGTCTGTTTCCAGGGCAGGATATCCATTCTAGTGCAGCAGAAGGAGCGGTCAGTGTGGGTCTCGGTGCTGTACAGGACCTCCTGGAGCTGTTTGTCTCCTGGCATCTGGGCTTTTACTCGTATCTGAAGGACAAAATAGGAAAATCAAGTTGCTCTCACTCTCACCTGATTTCCACAGACTGCCATCTGACCACATCCCTGCAGTTGGATCTCACCGCCGTACCTCTAGGATGGGTCTTCTTGGTGTGAACCAAAACCACCCTCTCCTTCAGCTCTGACCTGAATATATACACACGATTGCTTCTTAAAAAACAAACAAAAACAAACAAAAACAAAAAAACGTCCCTACACGGAGTGAGACTCACTCTTGGATGCCGAGATCAGCCAGTGTGGTTTCCAAGAATCCTGTTGTGGGACACCGGGAGCTTCCTGTCTGCCAATC